AGAGAGAGAGAGAGAGAGAGAGAGAGAGCGAGAGAGAGAGAATTTAACCATATATATAAAATATTATAACAAATAAATTTTAACTATATAACAATTTTCTGTGCCAACAAATACAAACCCCAAAAAACCACCCATATCACTTTTGTACCCGGATGACAAACTACTAGCTCAACACCAGAATTACATAGCGTAATCCAAAACAACAATAACAACAACTCATCCCATTATGTGATAACAACGCCCCGGGTATGGATGTCGGCCGAGGAGTCGGTATGTCTGGTACTGTTCAAAGACCTGTCACTGACAGACACCCGGAGCGGACAACCCATGATCGACGTTAAGATCGTGTCGATTAACAAAAGGGATTTGTTTGCTCATAAAGTGCTGCCATTGAGCTCATCATGTAATGTATAAGCAATTTATTTTCACTGACAGTCAGTGTGTTTTGTGTGTCTACAGAATATTCTGTGAATGCATTTTATATATAGAATATTATACTACAGAATATTCTGTCTATTATTCGCTCTTATTATTAATATAGCACTCGATTTAATGAATAGGAATCTTATTATTGGAGATTTACTTCATTGTGTAAATGTAGTCAATAGATAGTTTGGTACAGGGTAAACTAGATATTCAATCATGCTTAACAAAAAAAATGTATAGTTAATTCCTAAATAACTATAAATAAGTGATTTTCTAAATAATAATAACTATTTTGATAATTAACATAAATAATGGCTTAATTAAATAAATTTTATTTAAGTTATGTTCGCATTTTTATATACAGTACAACTACGTTATAATATCTAGTATAGACTGTAGATTCATATCTGTACAGTATACGACAAAAAAGCACTCTATTATAATAACCTAATTAATATTTTGATAAAACAAAAAAATTGTCATTCATTTAAATATGAAAACAATTACTAAACAAAACAGCCATAGAAAATACATTGCAGTCTAAAAACTAATTAAAATATAATTAATTTTCACAAACAATACCATTAATTACATGTCAATCAATCAGTCACTAACCCTACCTTTCCCAACGGATTATCGCCAATCCTATAGCCTCTCAATGCGTGAAAATACCAATCAATACAATCCGGGCGGACAGGGCTTTGGTCGCTGTGACAGTAGGCGCCGATTTAATCCGACAGGAGATTGACATCAGGGTAAAGCCGGCACCGGGACTGACCCTGATCGAAACAAGTAAACCGGCTTATAGGCCTGGTGAAAAGTTGCAATTCCGCGTGATCACCATGAGCGATTGGCTCCGGCCGATTGACCAAGTGTTGCCGGTGGTGTCGGTGATTAATAGTAGAAATATGCCGGTAATGCAGTGGACAAATGTCCCGGTGAAAGACGGTATGGTCGGGTTGGAGGTGCCGTTGGCCGCCGATAATTATCACGGTTTTTGGCGGATTAGCGTTGTGGGTGATCATGGTGCGGTCACCGAGAAAATGTTTAAGCTCATCGATTATGGTAATTAAAATATCTATTAATATTCCAACTAAAAGTCATATAAAAATTATATACAGTTATGTAGATATAAAAAATTAATCAATACACTTTTGCGTTCAACAAACTGTAGCCAAATTTTTAATGTTTAGTTTAGGTGTAATAGTAAGACACTATCTTAAATAAATTGGATCGGGTGCCTAGACTCTATAATTAAGCTAGTTTATTAATTTTGTCAATTTTTTGCCAAAATCTAATAATTGTTTTTTATATTTCAACAAACTGTAGCAAAATATTAAATGTTTTATGTAGTTATAGTATTTTAAACATATTTAACATTAGTTGGTTAACTTGATTATTACCTATAAATTTATTTTTTTGTAAATTTATATTTTGTTGGTTGTCGTTATTTGGATTATAAAAATTTGTTATATTTTATGCTTATTAAATAGTAATTAATTTACAAATACCTATTACACATATAATAGATACACTTTTTTTTGTTTAAAAAACTGTAATTAAATATTAAAAGTTTGGCGTATGTATAATTGTAATACACGTGCAAACATTAATTGGAAATTATAGTATCTGCGAAGGCTTTAATTATAATAGTTTGTTAATTTAGTCATTAATAATTATGCTAATTTAATTAATGTTATTATATTTTGCAGTTAATTAAATTAATATTATACTTTACATTACTGTAGTATATTATTAAAACAACTACTTTTATGTTTAAAAAAACTGTAGCTAAATATTAAAAATAATAATGTATCATAGTGTCAGAGCATAATCAAACAATATTGGTCTCAGATGACGTCCAATCATAAAATCATGCTAAATTATAACTATAACAATTTTTTACCACGTTTAGAAACACCATCCATCATAATCACGATCGACTCGCCCGACTATATCCGGTCGACGGACACCTTCTCGGCGTATAAGGTGTGCGTACGGGACAGCTATGGCCAGCCCATGAAGGGTCAGGTGCGGGCGTTTGCCGGCTATTTCAAGTACGACTGGGGCCGGGAGCGGCTGCTCAGGCAACTAATCCAACGCTCGGCCAACTCACTCATGGATATCCCGGTAAGCTATCCCTACAACCCTGTCCACCCTAACCCCACCCCCTCTAAATCCTACTGTTTTACTCATTAAGATTAATGGCTGCCACGAAATGTTGCTAAACGGCACAGCCCTTCAATGGTCAGCCCCGGAGCACATCCAACAGCAACAGGTGCTTAAGCTCAGCGTCCAATACACCGACGAGACTACCGGCGCTGTCGAGCAATCGTACGCCGAGATACCCATCGCCACCCGCGACCTGATGCTCACCTATCCGTCCCAACGCCTCCAGAAACAGCACTTTAAGCCGGGAATGCCCTACTTTGGGCACATCCTAGCCCTACGCCCGGACTACTCGCCAGCCCCGGCGGGCGAGCCCATCACCCTGTGCTACCAGGCCCGGGAAGTGCCCTGGGTCGCTGGCAAAGAGTTTGTATGCAAACCGATGATGGTAGATAGGGATAGCGCCGGTATGATTGAGTTTACGGTACCGCCGATGAGCGACAGAGTACGACAGGTGCTGGTGTGGGCCAAGTCGGTCAACTACCCGGCCATCGAGGCCCGTATGATGTTGGAGCCCGCGTACAGCCCCAGCGGCCAGTATATGGAGATAAAGCCCGTGATTAATGTGGAGAATTGCGCCGATTCTGTGATGTTTGACGTGTTGTTCAATAAGAAGATTATGATGACTGACGCACAGACTGTGCCCAAAGTGTTTTACCAGGTTCGTATATTTAATAGGCCTATCCACCCCTCCCCCGCTTAAAAACATTACAATTTTTACCTACAACTGATTTTTACGAAATAAAAAAGCTACTAGTTGAAACAGTTATTTTCATCTTTTTAATTTTACACTATTGAATGTACCTAATACAATATGAACCAAAATTTAATATAATACTTTAGCAAATAAGATTATCCTGTTACAAAGGTGTACTAAATGGGACAGGTGACTTTAATAGTAAATGGCATATTAAATTAACCAACCATTATTATTGACACCAAAAATAGATCATGGGCGATGGTATGATCAAAGAGGCCGAGCACTACCCGTTCACGGCATTCAAACAATGGTCGGGTGCCGACGACAAGCGTATGATAATCAACGGCACAATGATGTCTACCTCGATGTCGATGGACAGTCCGATTATCTCAAAGACCAAGGTCATACTGACAATGCCGGCCCGCCAGTCAGCCCTGGGCTACAATCGGCTGACCCGAGTGATGATGTACTACATGGACAGTGCGGGCGCTCTCGTAGCCGATTCGGCCGCCTTTTTGACCACCTGTACCGACCGGCAACAGCAGCGCACCAGGATTAGTTTGGTTAAAAGTGCACCTGATAATACCGGCGCTCATACCATGAGCATGAGGGTGATGTCCGTGCCAAATGCCACCTGCTCGACCCGTGTGTCCCGTCATAAACCCGTGTATACCCTGAAGAAAGTCAACGAGTTTATTGCCAGGTTTGACGTGCGGCAACAGTTTGCCCCGATGGATAAATGTAGACAATTGTATATTCAGAAAATGATCAAGGACCAACAGGCCGTAGCCACAGCTCCATACGGTAGGTGTTGAGTATTATAGTAGTAGATTGACTAGATCTATCCCAAAACTAGATTCTAAACTAATTCTACTTACACAATAAAATATTACAATTACATCAATACTAATCACCTAATTGTGTCGTACATGTGACTTATAGGTGCCGAACAGGTGACCGCGATGAATGGCGAAACGATCATGATGAATATGGCTAATAAATACTGGCCAATCGTCGACTATGGCGACGCTATGAACGCGTTCACCGACATGGGTCTGGCGGTGACCGGCGACGGACACCTCGACGACAGCCCATGCGATTGGGATATGTATGGCGCGGATGTGTTGTCCCAATTGACACAATTGAGAGACACGCAAGTGAAGGCACTTATTGGCCAACAAATGCCACCCTATGTGCCAATCATGTCCAGCAAAATGTTCCCGATGATGCAAATGCAGGTGTGTTTGGGTGCATGGTTTATTATGTAATATATTCTTTAGCTAGCTTATTTAACGGCTAATTAATTTGCCGCGCAAACTAAATTATTTTTTTTCAAACATATAATTTATTTATATAATAGTTAGTTAGTAAAGTTTATACTATATAACCTAGGTTATACTATATAACTTTTTAATTCTTTTAGCATTAAGGTTATTCTTATTAATGTGAAATATTAATTCAGTTAGAGCTCGATATAATAATTTAAAATAATTAATTGTAATTAAATATTTATTAAAATATACGTTAACCTAAGGAAATGGAGCGATCATTTTTAAACGAGGTGCTGGACTGGGGTGTGATCAGCAGCGCCGCGATGAACACCGGTAGTATTGACCGGCAGATCGACCACCAAATGCTGTACACATCGGACAAACTATACGCCGACACCGTATGCCTACACAAAGACACTGGCATTCAATACGCCAGTAATGTGCTGGACATCAGTGGTGGTCAACACCAACCGAGACAAACCCTGGCCACCCGTGCCATGACTACTGGCAATAGTAAACTACCAATGGTTAAGATGTCGGTATTGTCGGCCCCGACTGAGGCCAGGATTGGCGATACGATTGTCTATAAAATGGCCGTCAATATGATTGGCGCCGCCGCCGACTGTTGGCCAGTAATTATTACCCGATTTATGTTTTATGTTGTGCTGTATTTTATGCATTATTTTGTGCTGTTTAGCGAGTTTCGGGTTTTAATTAAATTGTTTGTTATTTAATGTGATATTTTTTAGATTTTTAATCTATGAACTTTTTGTGTTTGAAATTATTTAACAGTTTATGTACTAATATATATTGAAATTTATTTTAATTTAATAAATACCACGTGTTGTTTAGGTTGAGATGACTGTCCAGGACTCTGACTATTACGACATTATGAACGCCGATAGCCAGCAAAAAGTGATGTGCGTTTGCGGCCAAACAGCTGATGCCGTACAACAAGCCATGGATGTGATGATTAAACCCAAGAAATACGGTACTATTCAAATCAAACTGATGGCCAAATACCCGACCGACATCTATATGGATAACAGCTTTAAATGCGGTCATTTAATTGCCAACCAGTCTGACCCCCGGGCGATGATACAGGCCTTCCAGCCCCAGATCATTGTCCTGCCGCTGGCCATCAGCCCCGTCGGTATCGCCACCCATACCATTGACCACAAGATTGTTTGCAAAGACTCGCAGCAAACGAGTTGAGTATTGCACTTATTGTAAAGCACTTCATAGCATAACTGTTCCCAATTATCATCCAGGTGCCTTACCTATTGCCCCAGGAATGGATAACATGATCACCCAAAAGACCCTGATCACAAACAACTTGATTGAGCCGATGTACGCCTATATTCAAACCAAAATGTCCGGCCGAGTGCACAACGCCTGGGACGCGCTCACCACCTATTCGGCCGCCTATTACCTACAGAAATACGCCGATAACTACACTACCGGTGCTGTAGTGATGGCCAACCCCTGGCCTCACAGCGCGGCAGTGATTGGCGAGATGTCCGGCGCCTATCAGGCGTTGATGACATACCGGCGCAACGACGGCTCCTACGGAGGTCACGGCCATAACGGCCGGCGCACGGCAACTGTCGGCGCCCACTACCAGATCATGGGTACAGCCGTTGATCTGCCCCTAACGGTGGCCGTGTATAAGGTTTTGGCCCAATCTCAGCCATACATGGCTCTCGTTGATCACCGGTACGGAGCCCAGGGTCGTCACAACCTGATGGGCTGGACAGCTGACTGGATTTACCGCCAACAGGGCCAGGATGGTTGTTTCCATTTGAATAGCACAGGTATGCCCCGTAGGGCGGGTAACTATTGGCCGATGATGGTCACCGATGGCGATGATTATCAGCTCACGGCCTATGTGTTGGCGTCGCTCATGGAGTCAGGTATGACTGGATTATGGCACAGAATATTCTGTGATTTTTTTATATAGTAGTTATTCTGTGTATTGATTTTGTGAATGTTCTGTAGGTCTGAACTTTGATACTAAACCCCTGTATAAGGCGTACGATTGTTTGTCGAAGAATTCCCAGAAGTTTTTGGCAAATATTGATTTTAAGCCAATGACTGCTGTCCTCTATAACTATATCCAGGTAATTATAATTTTTTTAATTTATTTAATTATATTCTAGGTGATCATTTATTCACAATATTAATTTATTATGTCTATTACTATGTAATAATCTGTGTAATATTAGTGTAGCCCATATAACAAGCGTTATATAGCTAGATTATAAAAATCAATAGTTATATAGTATAAAAAGTGGTTATAAAATAAACATATTTATGTATTTTATTTTATGTAGACTATTCGCACGTCAATTATATTTCAATCAAAAAACCCATAGACAAATAGACAGGCCCTTAACCAATAGGCCCTTAAAATATATATGAAATAAAAACATTTCAAATATATTTCACTAATAAAAACAAACCTAAAAATTTTATATCGATTTTTCAATACTAGAAAAACATATTATTTCACTTTTTTTGCACTCAAAAACAGTGACAATAAAAAACTTTTTGTTATTTTTAGTGAAGTTTTATTTCATATATAAAATAACAAAAAGTTTTTGCTGCTGTTATTTTCACACAATTTTATTTGTCATTCAATATATTTTCGGATGAAATCTCGATAAAAAAATACAAAAAATAACAATAAAATAAAATTGTCTCTCAAATAGTGTGAAAAATAAATTACATTTTGAAACAAAAAACCAAAAAATACTAATAAATTGTCTGCAAATCGATTTCGCCTAAAGATATTGAGTGGCAATACATTAGAGACCGACGTTTGGATGAAAGCCGTGCGAAAGGCGTTCAATAAGGCTGACCAGCGGTCACCAAACGGACAGTTGACCTCCAATTCAGTTGACCAGGAAATCATTGATGAGGTGATGGCCTCCTATTTGGCTCTATCGGCGTATATGACCGACAATATGGACGGCGCCAAACACTTTGGCCAACGGCTGGCCCGTACGGCCCGCTCGGCCACACTATGGCGTACACCGATTGCCACTTACGCTATCACTAAACTGTGGCCTATTATGGAAAAGACCATGGTGAGTCTGATTAATTAATTGTTAAGTAATGCATCTGGTTTATATTAATTAAAAATAACTTTATTATTGGTTTTGTATACAGAATATTCTGAGAACTAAGTTATTGTTTTCAGAATATTTTGTTAATATAGTATATAATAGGCTTTATTGTTGAATGGATTGTATTTTTATAGTAATACTATATTAGGTTTATTAATACAATTTTGTTTATGCTATATGTGTTGTAAAGCCCTTTAACATCAATGGTATACAAACTCAATAACACAATTGACTCTCTCTCTCTCTCTCTCTCTC